AGATGTTTATGGGGATTTGAGAGGGATGTGATTCGGCCATACTAGGGGACAAAGGGGTGTGAGATATATTGGCTAATTTGGTTTGTTATGGTGGTTGTGAAGTGGAAAGGGGCAGGCCAGGGATGGGGTAAAGAGGGGTGAGATATGGTTGTTTGTGATGGGTTTATACGTCCCACACATCTCAACAAATGGGATGTTTTATTCTTAGCTTTGGAGTGTAGTTGTAGGGCTTATTTGGTGGTTAAAATGGAGGGTGTGTATGCTGTTTGGGTAGGGAACAAAGGGGGTCCATGTGTTGGGGTTTATTATGGGGATGATATGTGTTGTTTTGGCTCTTGTGTTTCGGCCAGAATTGAAGGGAAAAGGATGAAATATTTGTGGGTCATTTTGGTGAGTTTAATGGGGTGTGTTTTTTTGATGAGAAAGGGTGGGGGTAAGGGGGTACGGCCTGGGCAGTAAAGAAAGAAAACAGGTTGTTTGGGTTTATTTTAGGGTGAGGAAAAATCCAATGAAATTATGGCTAAGGGTTTGGGTTTAGGAGGGGTAAATTCATTCCAAAAAGGATCGTAGGATTTAGTCATTAATCCGGTAATTTGTTTAAGGACTTTCGTAGGTACTGGGGTATATCATCATTCATCACCTCTTCCTCCTCTCGAATGATTGATTGCCTTTCATTCAATCTGCACATTTAATGGACACAATATTATCAATGACCTCTAACACAGTTAATTTAAACCAAACATAAAATTTTGTAAATCATTAATTAAATTATTAGTTGTCCAAAGTTGAAGCTGGTCATTGCCAAATATTGCAAAATCTAGCTTTTGCGTGCCGGACCTTATTCAAGTCTGCCATCGTAGGTTCGTTGCCAGAAAGTTGTTCTCTTATAAAGAGTCTTCTAGACTCTCTACACTCTAAGGCATTAATTTATCAAATTGTCGTAGTGCATTTCTGTCTCAATTTAACAGAGTACACATTTTAATTTACAATTGACACCCTTATTGTCCTTGTTATAAGTATAGCATTTTAAGGTTTTTGTGTCAAAACTAACAAAAGGACAACTCTGTGCATGACTATCACAATTCAATTTACGGAGTAAATTAAAATATGATTAGATTATAAAATATGATTGATATATTCAACTTTAGAAGCTAATTTTTTGTAAACTATTTAATGCGGATTAGATTATAAATATATTTAGATTTCAATAATTTATGGTTGATTGTATTTATAAAATTTTGACTGGCTAATAATATTTATTTACAAAGTATTACCATAACAACAACATTACCTAGTGCCTCAAAGGCTCCCAACCATGGCGGGTCAAGGAGGTCGGATGTACGCAATCGCACCCTTAAATTTAAAACATATACCTGCTGTTTCCGGAAGACCCGTGATGAGCCTCAAAAGTTGCATTGACTAACTACTACTTCACTTTCAAAAAAGAAGCACAGAGAGTTTAAAGAACCACTTTGTTTTATTCCATCAAACTCAATGCCAAAAAATAATGAATCTATTACTCGCTTGGAAATGATGGAGGAGAAATAAATTAATATATTTAAAAATATTGGGTGATAGGTTGTCTTACGCTCCAAGGGCGCCTTTCCCGGGCATGAGCTCCTTTCACCCTGTTTACAACCCGCCCTCGATGGGTGCGCCCATCTGCAGCTGGGAGGAAGCAGTATTCTGGGCGCAGGAAGCTATGACTTTTGCAGCCTATAAAGATGGCGCTACAGGAGGCAATTTCTACCAGGGTAACAATTTCTTTATTATTGATTTACTACTTCATACGTACCTTATTTGAATATATATATATGTATGTATGTATGTATGTATGTATGTGTGTGTGTGTGTCTATATATATATATATATATATATATATATATATATATATATATATATATATATATATATATATATGAAAAGAAAGTTTGTTCAAAGAAAGAAAAATACAAGAGGGGAGAGGGGAGGACGAAGCCAAAGTCCCGCTAGGAAAACAGAAGAGAACGAAATGCAAAACAAAACAAGACAAAAAAAAAAGAAT